ATTCTCTTCCCAGCTATTATTTCCACCTGCTGCAGGGCAAGTGTCTTGTCCACCACTGCACCTCCCATGCTTAGAGCAGGGTCTACAAACACTAGACAAGGTAAAAAGTAGAACATATACACAGCAGGACTTGAATCCACATTCAAGGACGTGACATTCAAACATGAAAACCATTTGCCCACCAGGCTGATGTTCAAGTGTTTAAGAATTTCTACCCTTTCCCACAGCACACTTACACATGCATACTGCAATAAGAATATTTCCTCTAGCAGCTAATGTTTTTTGTTTCTTAATTCTACACAAAGCATCAGATAACAAGCCACAGATACACCAACAACTCAAGTTATGCAGTGCATCTTCCTCCTGGGTCATGTGCATTGCCTGTAAAGGAAGCACAGCTCTAATCCAGAAAGTTCTGATTGTGTCTGTCATCAAAAGGACCTGCACATACTGTGGGTAATGAAGTAATTTCAAGAGGACTGGGGATGCAGCTTAATTGTAGAGTAGCTGCCTAGCACACTCTGAGGCTCTGAGTTCCATCCCCAATCCAGAGACAAAAAAAAAAAAAAAGTAAGATCCTAACCATTAGCTGAGTTTGATGGTACACACCTGTAATCCTAGCACTCAAGAGGCTGATGCAGGAGGATCACTACAAGTTCAAGGCTAGCCTGGGCTACAGAATCAGTTCAGGGCCAGCCTGAACTACACAGTGACAAGCTATCTCAAAAGAAGGTCTAACTAATAAAGATCTACTCTAAATACAATACGACCAGATTATAGTCTGCTCTGAAAATTCTGACTTCAATATACTTCAAATGGATAACTTTAACGTGCTATTTACTCCAATATAAGTAGGATTTTATTGTTTGGCTTTGTTACTTGTTTTTCCACTTAAGACTCCACAAAAAGAAAATGGGTAAAACAGAGTCAGAAGCCTTAGACAGATCTAATGATCACTAAAGTGCCACAAACACAAAGTCCCCAAGAGGAAGCATGCTTAAGGCATTCTGAGGAAAGGGCTCTTTTGTAAACATGTTTTGAGTGTTTCTTGGTCAAAGTGAGAGCAGTCACCACATATGATGATTCCTGTGCAGAGCAAACCCCTAACAGACAGGAAGAAAGATAGCCCCTTACGTATTATCACTTACTGAGCTGATACAAGAACTTTCGGTTCAAGACGGAATAGCAGAACTCGACTTCTTAAAATATATCTTTTTTTTTTTTTTTTTGGCAGAACCGGGGATTGAACTCAGATCCTTGTGTTTGCCAGTCAAGCGCTTATCCTACTGAGCCATCTCCCCTGCCCCTTAAAGAATATCTTAATAGATTAAATCTCAGGCATATTGGCAAAATTAGCCAGATATGGGTAAGTGAAAGTTTAGAAAACTTCCAGGAGTCACAAATGTACAAGCAGTAAAAACCATGCTTCCAAGGGGATGTAAAAAGAATTAAGATGTGTTACGTACATGTACCAACTTCCCAGATGTAAGCATATACTGCAAATATGTTTTTTGTTAAAAAACAAACAAACTTCAGTGTTTCACCCAGGTCCAGCTTTAAAAAAAAGTCAGATGTGTTGGCACATGCCTATAATCCCAGAACTCTGGGAGGCTCAGGCAGGACAAGCTCAACCTGGTTAATTTAGGGTAACCCTGTCTCAAATACAAGCCAAGACAAGGCAAGGAAAGGCAGGATATGTAACTATAACCCCAGTTATTTGGGAGGCTTATAAGTTCAAGGCCAGTGAGATCATCTTCGCAACATCCTATACCCAAATTAAATAAAAGAGCCAAAGATGTAGCTTTGCAGTACAGTACTTGCCCACCATGCTAACCCTGGGTTCAATCCCAGCCAGGTTAAAAAAAAAAAAAAAAAAAAATTTAAAAAGATAAAACCAGGTTCAGCAATACATACTGGTGATCCCAGTGGCTCAGGCAGGAGGGTAACCAGCTCAAGGCCAGGCAGGCAACTTAGTGAGACCCTGTTTCAAAACTTAAAAGGGCTGGGGATGTAGCCAAGTGCTGAAGTGCTTATCTAGCACATGTGAGTCCCTGGGTTCAATCTTAAATACCACATAAAAAACAGGGGTGGGGCACAGCAGGAAGATGTAGATTCCAGAATTAGATCTGCCACTAGCTGATCTGTGCTCTGGGCAGGTAGTGAGCTATAACAGACATGGCACGGGCTTTGGAACTAAGAAGAGAAGGGCTAGGTGGGTTACATCCAAGCCCTGACCCTCACTAGCTCGATGAGCTCTGTGAAAAGCAAAAATGATCAACCTCTCAGGCATGCAGGATAGAGAATGTTAAGACAAAATACCTCGGACAGAGTCTGGCGTAGGGTTTATTTTTCATACAAATGTCTGTATCCTTTCCTATCCAAATAATGAGATGACTGAATTTACCCAAAGTCCAATTCTAATATTTTGGTCAAAACAGATGTGATCATGTCTACTATATTCTACTTCACTTTAGAGAAGTAAGTATACTGCTAAAGGGTTATAAAGCCTAAAAGCCAACTTGCCTAAAATCTTACTAACTTAGCAAGGTTACTCATGTATAAATATGAATTGCCTCAGTAGAATAAGTTTCATAATTTTTGTTCATAAGTTATAAAAGCACAATATAAATGTGAATGTAATAAATGCTTACAATTTAAATAAGTAGGGTGTTTTAAATCCCATACTTAACAAGGTCTTAAGTCAAATCCTAACTGAACAACTATTTATTCTGGAAGATCTGAAGTAACTTAAGTATCTGTGTAGCTGCTTAAAAGTGTTCACTATGTGACAGTTCTGATGTTAACAAAAAAACCTACAGATCCGCCTCCAAAGTCGATGTTAGAAGCACAGCCTTAGGGCCGGGGAGATGGCTCAGTGGAATAAGCTCTTCCCTGGCAAGCACAAAGGCCTGAGTTCAATCCCCGGTTCCGCAAAAAAAAAAAAAAAAAAAAGAAGAAGCACAGCCTCTATGCATACTGAGATCCTTTTATAAACCAGAGTGAATAAATAAAAATGTATATTACACATATATTAAACATATATTAAGTACATGTTTCTCAAGGATCACAAAATTAAAGATTTAAGACAAGATCAAATTCTGAGAGGTTGGTCTAGAAGTACTTACCAGTCAAAAGTATGGCCAAAAGCCCTCACAAACCATAAAATCAGTAAAACTAATAGGAGTTCTTCAGCATCTGTGAGGCATCATCTTGCTACCATTAAGGAATAAATCGGGGATGCAAATAATTAGTGCACCCTGAGGTGACAGTTAATTCCACTAGCCTACTACATAGATGACTTTACAGAATCCCATGTTACCCTTAATCCAAGAATAAAAAAGGTTCAAATTCCAAAGCTAGGGCCCAGGAGATGGCTCAGTGGAATAAGCACTTCCCTGGCAAGCACAAGGGCCTGAGTTCAACCTCTGGTTCCAGAAAAAAAAATAATAATAATCCAAAGCTAACCAAATACCTCCTTTAAAAAAATTCTTCTAAGCTCCAGTGTGCAACATACTCCAACCCAATCACATTATTAACACTTCCCAAGTAGCCACTGTCTCAATCATTCTCTTTGTTGTTCACTTTTACACATACACACCACTCAGCATGGGCTAGAGTACTGCGAAGTTTTCTGTTCTGAAGTACAAAACAGCACCTACAATTTGAGGACCGACAGCCCTAACCAAGTTTTCTGCTCTGGTTTAAGAAGAGGCTGGAAACTAAGGATGCCTCTTAAAACCGTGTGGGTTTTGTTTTTATTTTCAGAAAAGCTGATTATGGTCAAGACGGAAGCATAAAACGGGACACACACACACACACACACACACACAATCAACCCAGCCCCAAACTCATGCAATGACCTGGAAGGGAGTCACTTAACAGATGAAGAAACTAGGGTGTTGAGTAGGTAGGTAACTTGCCCTAGGAAACAGTCTATTTGGTAGCAAAGCTGGTAGTTGATTCCTGGTCAGAATTACATGCAATCTCCCCATCCGCCAAGCTGCTACCCCAAGTAACATGTTTTATACAAATCTCCACCGAAGCTGTTAACATAAGGGTCCAATTATCATTTAAAGATCAGTCTGTTAGATAATGGCTCAAGAATTCCATCCATTTTACTGCATTTACCAGTCATGGGGGAGGGGGAGGAGTCCAGAGGTGCGATTGAAATCCTAATTTTGATCGACATGTCCCCTAAGGGCAAACCAAAACCAAAGGGTCGAACACAGCCAGGTCCAGAACTCCAGTATCCCCAACCACAAACCGATGAAAGCAGTCGGGGATTCACACCACTCCCCGCCCCCAAACTCACTAAATTCCACTCCTCTGCCGCCGCGGGCTGGCCCGACCCTCAACTCTCCACGAACCAACACTCTCTCCCAACCCCCCCCCCCGCAAAGGGACAAGGAGCTTAAAGTCCCCGATCACGCACTCCGCCCCTGCTCACAGCGGCGAAGGAAGGGAAGAGAGCCCCATACAGGAAGTACGTCCCGGCCCCGCCGGCCGGTACCTGCCCTCTGCCGCCAGCGGGCGAGGAGCGCCCTAGTCCACATGGCTTCAGGTGTTCACACAGCAATCAGTGCTCCCGTCCCTCCCGCGGCCCTGCGTCCCAGACTCCAAGCCCGGCGCTCCGCCCGCAGCGAGGCGGCCAGAGCCCGGGTCCCCCAGTCACCCCCGGGTCAAGCCAGCAGGCTCGCACCCCAGGGACCACCCGCTCACACTGCCGCCTCGGCACCCAGGCCGCGCCGAGCAGGTACCTCCTCCCGCAGCCCAGCCGGGACCGGCGGCCACGCCCGGCCGAACCCCTGAGCCCTGAAGCCGGACAGGGACCCTTCCCCTCTGTACTCTGCACCCCCGGCCATAGCCGGACCCCCGCAGTCCCCGCCGCACCCCGCCTGGCTCAGACTCCGGGGACTGAGCACTCCAGCTACTGCCGGGCCAGGACCTCTGCCCGGCTCCGCCGACCCTCCCGGCCCCCTCCCCGGCCCCGCAACGGTTACCTGTAGGAGCCCCCCGCCCCAGCCCGCGGCCTCCGCCGGGGGCGGGCGGGGAGGCAGGGAGCGGCGG